TAGCTACCTAGAGTCTTTATCGCTAATTTACCTGAGCGATAACTTGAGGAAAGGTTTCTTGACTTTCTAAACGACTGAGGTCTTCCCAGCGGATGGCAGAGAAAGAGCTCTCGGCCTGCAGACGAGGACAATTGGAGTTCTGGCTCTGATACCACTGTCAGGTTTTCAGTTCTCCAGCTCAGGCCACACTCAACAGCTGATAGAGTTATAATTTTATTATGTATTATTTCTATTTTAACTAGTTTTATTTGTTGTTGTTTGGAAAATTACACACTTTTGGTGTAATTAGTTAATTTTCTTAGATAGATGTAATTTGTTTAGATTAGGATTATTCTGAGCTTAAAACAGGTCAAGATCATCCAAAGGATCAAGATTGGACCCCAAAAGATCAAGGAAGGTGCAAGGGGACAAGATAAAAAGAAGATTGAGAAAATATTTCATATACCCGGTCGGGTATAGGCAATACCCAATCGGGTATTGAGTTTATTCGGGTGTCAAAATCAGAATCTGGAGAGACAAAAGAACGTGCAGGATTTTGACTTTTTGGCTCATACCCTTAAGAATATTGACTTTTTGGCTCAGTTTAGAATAATATTTCTTTTATATTTTATAGCATGTTTAGTCCCAAATGAGGAGCTAAACTTCCATTTTTTGGTTTTGCTCTTGAAGCTTGTTGATTATTAAAGTTGTGAGTTATTTTCTTACTTTCTCCTCTTGATTATTACTTCTTCCCTTAATCTCATTCTATATTAATGTTGGAGGGTTACTAAGTGACGATTAGTTAACGTTCCGACATTAATTATTACTAGAAACGATCAACGAACCGATGGTTAATCGTTGATGGTTTCACAAGTAAGTAACTTCGGTTTATTAATGCACGGTCGTGGTTGATAAACTTAAGAGGGATTAATTTTGTTGGTTAAACCAAAACCGTTGTGTTGAGGTTATCAATCTCAATTGATTTCATCAAGGAGTTAAAGAGGTTAAATGCTACTATCAAGTCGGTATATGGCGGTGTTCTATATTTGACTAATAGTAAGGGTTATTAATGAACGGTCGTTGTTAATAACTACCCTCGATAAATTGGATATACTCCTCGATTGAGTATTCGAGAGGGGATAAGTTATAGATATAACAATGATCAACTAAAATATATCAACAAGTGGAAAGTAGCAAGACCAAGTCCCTTTTATTCTTGAATTTAATCTCATATAACTCGTTCATCTTCGTGTTTAATTTAATTAAATCACTCAACAATCAAAACCCCTCTTTATTTACTCCTTTCGTTAAAAAGATAAATTATTCCTTTCCCTGTGGATACGAACTCTACTACGCTATACTACGTATAGTTGTTAGTATCGATTTATTTTGAGTGCACATCAACAGCTCACACCAAGCACCACCAAGGAACGGGAGAGTCACACTCAGGCCAGGCCAGCCATATCAATGCACACCACAAATAAAAGAGAAGAAGCACATAAAGAGTAAACACGAAGGGACCAAAGGAGAAGAGAGCACTGTTCGAACAATCTCTCTCTATCTCTCTCTAACCTTAGTCTCTAACTAAACCGAAGATCTCAAGTCTCAAGAGGAGAAAAGAAGCTTAAGTGTCGAGGGTCAAGGGGGGCCCTAGAGGAGGTTCAAGAACAAGGGCTAGCGAGAACAACATGGGCCAGACATAAGGACACAACAAATGGGCCCAACAAGGGGAGAGGGCTGTCAAGGCCTAAATGAGCCAATACCTCCACAATTTTAAAACCGTTAATGGCGTTACACCAAGTCTTTGTCAAATTTTAATTATAATGAATAAAACTCTACTTATGAGACCTTTAAAAAACTCTAATTATGAGAAATCATAACTTTAATGTAGTTAAATTTTATTTTCTTTAAAAAAACTGTCAAATATATCCCTCTATCAATCTTGTATGTTATTTGCAAAAAAACTCAATTTTACTATTACGTACTCTCTCCGTCCCCTTTTAAATGTCCCGTTTTACTATATTGGGATGTCCCTATTTAATTGTCTCATATCTTAATTATTTGGTAAAGTTTGTGTGACTCAAAATCATTCTTACTTTAATCTTACTTTATCAATTACTATTAACCACACAAACCCACTTTTCTTAAAACTCGTGTCACTCTCTTCCGGGACATTTAAAAGGGGACGGAGAGAGTATTTGATAGGGACTTATTTGACATTACTGCCATTTTCTTCTTTCGTAATATTTATGTTCCCAGTTAACAGTTCAGGCAATGTTGGGGACTTTGGAGATGAAGTGTCATTTGTTTTTTGCAATCCTATTTTTCTTTATTTTCTTTACACTCTGTCGTTCTACCAAGTCTAATGCCATTCCCTTGCAAAAAAAAAGTCTAATGCCATTCATTTAAGAATGAGGAAAGCTACAGTCTCACTTATTCAAAAGTCTAATGTCATTCATTTAAGTATTAGATAGTATTAGGTGGCAACTAAGTATTCAATGCGATCATTATTTGCTCTTTCAAACCAGACAAGGTGATATTTGTCCAAAATAAAATAGGCTGTCAAACTCCAAGCAAAGAATATAATAATGGACTCATGGAGTATGTATCGCCACTAGATTGAAGCAATTGACCGGAAAAGGCAAAAAAAAAAAACTTAAGACAGCCATGAAGATTCCCACTTGCTTAGTAGGAACTCAAGCTAAAAGGGGTTGGCAAATTGCAACCCAAAGACAGGGTGCCACCTGTAATTGCTTCCCCATAGTGTTGGTGATTTTTTTAAAAAAAATATACTCTCCCATCCTTATACAAAAATCCACCTTGACAGAACGCATAATTGAAAAAACAAAACTGAACAGTTGTAGTTCATAATTGAAAACCACATAAATTAGATGATACATTCATACAAATAGGAAATGAGAGGCAATTTTAGAAGGAAGGTAAAAGGAAATTAAAAAAGTTATTTAGGGACTTCAAGTGATAGCATTACTTCTGAAGTTGTGATGCATATTATTTTTAAACGAACCTTCAAATTAAAGCTTATAGTAAAACTTAACAAACAAAAAAGATGATTGTGTAACACTAAATTTAGTTGAATTAGTAGAATCTGCTCAAATTCATGAAATTCTTGCTAAATTTGTTAAATGATGAAAAAATTAACTTTTATAGGGTGTAAAGTAAGGCGGTGTTTGGAACTGATTCTACTTCTGATTCTGTTTTAAAGTAGAAGCAGAATTAGAATCAGTTTTCAGAAACTGGTATCTTCCAGCTTATAATAAAACTGATTCTATGAGTAAATTAGAGCTCCAGAATCACTTCTACACTTTCCCCTAAACACTTCAACTTGTGTTTTAAGAATCGAATCCAAACACCCTTAAGGGTACATTGGTACTAATGAAGTAATGATGAGTAAACATGGGCGATGGGCAACCCTATAACTTACTCCAACACTTGATGCTCAATGCAAACTATAATTAAAACGTAAAATGAGATCCAACAATAAGTAAAACATTAACACTTGATGTTCACCCTCTACAATTTTACAATTAAGTAAATTCAATTTCAGATGATAATTATGCACTTCACAGACAATAATTCCATATACTTTTCAAGTTTTCAAATATATCGCTTCACACATATACAGGTTCAGACCAAATAGTTTTAGAAATAATTATTGTATGATCATCTATATCAGACTGGATGTAATCCTCTCATATCAACAAAAAAAAGACAGCTCACCCTCCTAAATGGGTATAATGTAAAATAACTAGTACTCCCTCCGTAACATTTATATCTTCCCACTTTCCTTTTTTGGATGTAACATTCATATCTTCCCATTTCATAATCTTCCAATCATACCCTCAATAATTTTAAAAATAATACACTATTACACCTACTTTTTTTGGATTTATCCTTCATTCCAACACATTATTTCACTATCTTCCCATCATACCCTCAATAATTTATATCCACTTTCACTATTTTTAATCTACCTACTTTTCAAATGGGAAGATATATATGTTACGGAGGGAGTACCAATTAACTTCTGATCGGTGCGAGCCTGCTAGACTCTAAAAATCCCGTTAGACAATGTTTGGAAGATCCAGAATTGAGACAAAAGTCCCCTTAGTCCCTCACAAGTCACAATCAAGCAAACTCGTAAATTACTCCTACAAATAAAATCCCAGAGAAATCCATGGAACCAATAAAGCAATTATTTGGTATGATGTAAATTAAACTTTTGATCCCACCAGTGAAAAGAGAGTGATTTTCATTCTATTGCACTCATTTCCTACCACACCCGTGTTTGTTTATACTTTTTGGTGTATACATTTCATAGACTTGTTTGTCTTCATACACAGAGTTTTTTTGTATACAATTGTAAGACACACACATAATGTACAGACAATAAGTGTATGAATGATATACACAACAATATGTATACCCACCACTCTTCTTCTACTGGGTGAGAATGAGAGATACTGTAACTACATCCCTTATAACTTTGTCAACTTTTCTTTTTTGGTTGTCCCAAAAACTTTGTTACTTTCCCTTTTAACAATTGCTCATGTTATTTTTCGCTCCTCTGCACAAATATCTACCACACAGTTTTTACTTTATTATCCACGTGTCAGTCAAATTTAGCAAACCTTTAAGGGAAGTAGTAAATAACTCAAGTTATTCTTCCCCAGACAATGGATAAAAAAAGATGACACGTCATCCTTGAGGGTCTCTCAACATCGATCGGACATTTAGATGAGAAGATGTAAGTTGAACTTTAATCAAAAGCTACCAGATAGACCCGGTATAATATACTCCCTCCGTCACTAATAACTTTGTCAAGTTTGACCAACACGAGAATTAATTAAGTAAAAACTGTGTGATTAAAGTTTGTGTAAAAGAAAGTGAATTAACTGGAACCACAAAATCTTTACTTAAAAAGTTGCATGCAAAAAAGTAAAGTTGATAGATGAAGTATAATATTCCTCCCTCGATTATACACTACAGAGTGGAAGTTGGGTCCCATCTCTACACTGCCTACACTTCACAATATTATTCTCTGTTTTCAATGTTCTTCTTCATTTCCACCATACAGCTCTCCACCAATCTCAACAAAAATGGCCGACAGAGTGTTCCCATCCGCCAAGCCAAATGGGAATACCACAGACACTACCCACGGCGGCGCCTCCGCCGCAGCCGCGAATGTACCGAAACCCAAGCTCCACAATCCCAGCCGCATCCCCTACCGGCCTGTACCGATGGCCAACCGCAGAATGGAACACCGCCGCTGTAGCTGCCGGAGATTCTTTTGCCTCTGTTGTTTCTGGTCCATCATCACTCTCTGCACCCTCTTCCTCCTCGCCGCCATCTTTGGCGCCACATTTTACGTCATCTACCGGCCGCAGCGCCCGGCGTTCTCCGTCTGGTCCTTGAAGATTTCCCAATTTAACCTCACCACCGCCCCCTCCGACGGAACCACTCGCCTCTCCACCAAGCTGAACCTCGCCTTGTCGGCCAAAAACCCCGACCCGAAAATAGTCTACGCATACGACCCGATCGCCCTCACGGCGTACGCGGGTCAAGTCGCAATATCAAACGGGTCGTTTCCGGGTTTCGTCAGCAACCCGAACAACATCACCGTGATTCACTCGACATTGTCTATGCCGTCGCAGCTACTGGACGCGGATTCTGTTTCGGGTCTGAAATCGGATTTGAGGAAGAAAAACGGGCTGCCCGTTAAGATCTCGATGGATACGATGGTCCTGGTGAAGCTGGAGAAGATGAAGAGCAAAAAAGTTGGGATCCGAATCACTTGTGAAGGCATACGTCTTCCGATCCCGAAGGGTAAAGTTCCAGGGGTCGGTACAACTTCTAATGCACAATGTACGGTTGATCTTAGATTGACAATCTGGAAATGGACCTTCTAATCTTATCCTTTGTATTATTCTTTCTTCACTTATTCACAGTATATTAAGGATTGATTTGATCCTTTCACCAAAAACGGAATTTGTTAGGTAATGGGATATTAGAAAACAACTCAAAAATATCTGATTTAAGGGCATTGAAATTTTTGAGTTACTTGTTATTTGTAAATTTGCAATTACAATTGGATGATAATCATTTAGCAATAAAGCTAGGCCACATTTTTAATTCTTTTGTCCAACAAAAGGTTGAATCCCCAATGGCCAACCCCAAGAGTCCTCCACGCCCCGACCCGACAGAGCACATGAGAAGTTGTAAATCACAGTGACTCAATCAATTCTAATAATGGTAGACTTATACCCGTGCGCACCAATGGATCAACCCAGCACATAGCAACTATGACTTCCACATGATCGTTGCGGTTTCGATCTTTGGTCATTTGTCCAACTTTCCCACAGCTTTAATTCACGGCTACGATATGGAGTAGATATCAATTGAATCCTTTAAAAATAGACAATACTAGTATTTTTTTACCATTCAATACTAGTATTTGGCTTTCGGCCAACCATGATTGTATTTATAAAATGTACTAAAACAGTTTTCATAAACTTACCAGCTAGCAGTCTATTTTGTTTTGTCCATTATATTGTCCAAACTCCAAACCATAAGACTAATTGATAGGCTATCCCGCAACTAGTTGTGAAGAAGAACTGTATTAGATGGTCCACTTTGATCAGTTAATTTGTAGATCAGACATGCTTTGAAGCCATAGTCCATTCACAAATAATATTAATGGAGTTTCTCTCGAAACAAGCAAATTAATTTCAAATTATTATACTTGTTATAAATTAAGTCTCGAAACAACGTAACCAAATTAATTTCAAAATAGCTATTTTTATTAAAAAAAACATTGCTATAGATACGAGTTACGGAGTATTATTAGTACATCATTTGAAGTATCCTTGTTATACCTTTAACAAAAACTATCAATTTGATCTTCGTATCATCACAAAAATGTCAATTAGGTTTTCTTATTCCTAACAAAAACAATCGAATACTTGAACTTTGATAAAATATTAGGTGGGTACACTAGTAGGTTACCCACCATTAATGGCGGACCCAGAAAAATAGATAGAGTCATGAGATCCTTACTTTAATGTAATTCTAATTAATACACAAGTAATAAAAAACACATTAAAGAAGCATAATGTTTCCCAGGTAACATACACCATCAGATAGTATACCACACAAAATTACATATAAAATTTATTCTACAATTCTACAAATGTACCATCCTAGGTTTCATTTGTTGGAAATATTTTAAAATAGAATCATCGCTGATAGTACCAAATTATTTAATAAAATGAGAAACACATACAATAGATGAAAGATAAATATTAGGATTTTTTGCTCAATCCATTATGAGCTTCCAAATATTAAAAAATCAACATGTTCCTCTAAAGCGGCAGATGCTGAAACGCAAGACGCAATCGATTGATGTGGTCCGCCCAATAAAATCAATATTGTTCACCCTCAAAAATGGTGAACATCACCTCACCCTAATTACTTGTCATGTGACAAAGCAATTATTTAAAATTTCATTCTCAATTATTTAACTTTTTCATTTGCAAAAAAATGTATCAAATTTTTTATGATACCAATATTGCCCATGAAAAATTTTAAAAATAAAAATCAACTAAAAATAGATATTTAGAAAAAAAATAATTTTTTCAACTTATATATATATAATACTGATTCCATTGGATAGATAATAAAAAAATATTAAATCCGACACATTTTTTATAATAAATTGGACCACAAATATATAAGTTTTAATGATTTTAAGGAAAAAAATTAATTGGTATGTCAAATGACAATTAAAGAAGCTAAGGGTGATGTTTATCCTCTCGGGTGAACAAAATAGGACCCCCCACAAGACCGTAAATTACATGGTACAGCGGCTGTACCGTGCGCACGGTACAATCGGCCTTTTATTTCGTAAATCGCAGGGCTTCATCGCAAATCGCAGGCTTCCATCGCAGTTCGCAGGGCTTCCATCGCAAATCGCAGGCTTCCATCCCAGTTCGCAGGACTTCCATCGCAGCTCGCAGATCGTTACTCGTCCTTCACTCGCTGCCACCTCCCTCCAGCACAACCCTCCAACACGAGCGCAGCACAACCCTAGTTGCTTCTTCTTCCTCTTTCTTGCTTTGGACTCTTCCTTTTTCTCTTTTTCTTACCCAAGTTTCTGAAGGGAGTTCGTCACTTATGATATGAGCATAACAAATGAAATTATGAGTATAGTACACATTTCAAATGAGTTTTTTGAATGCTCATTTCGTAATAAATGTATACTCATTTGATATAAGTGCAATACTCATTTTAAAATGTTTACATTCATGCATATTTCAAAATGAGTTTTATGTTAAACTCAAATATTTACAACGCCCAAAATGAATGAGCACACACAAATGAGTTTTTAATATTTTAATACTCATTTTGTAAGTTATGCATACTCATTTGGTATTTTTTATGCTCATTTTAAAAGGTTGCACATGTTAAACATATCATAATCCATTTGATTCACACATTGAAATTAAATGAAATTGGTTATAGACATAATTTAAGACTTTAATAAACGAAAAAATAATAAACGGGAATGTGATATATGAGGAATGAAGCAGATATCACTAATGCTCATTGTTTAGACTACTAATACTCAAAAGAACAAGCTCTATGCTCATTTTAAAATGATGCACATACATATCAAACATATAATACTACATTAGATTCACATATTGAAATTAATTATAAACATAATTTAAGTTTTTTTTATAAACGAAAAAATAATAAAAAGAAACCGAATTAGAAGATATGAAGTAGAGAGCACTTGTGCTCACTGTTAGGCTCCTAATACTCAGAAGAACAGACTCCATGTTCATCAAAATTACATCAATGCTCATTTACGAGAAATCGCGAACTTCTTCAAAATTACAAAACTGCCACCGGATGTACGGTGCGTATACGCTTCCCCCACAAGACTAGGTTTGCCGTATGGTTAGAGATTTGAAGCAATAAAATGGCAAAATGTCTTGTTTTAATCTAGAATAAAAAGAAGCGAGAAAAAGTAAAGATGAGGCTCCAAGAAATCGAACCCAGCACCATCTAAAGTCTTAAGATAGATAGTACTACGTAACATTACCGCGAGTGCTACCATTCAATTGTTCTATCTATTTAATCATTTTGTGGTTTTATTTGTATATATAAATATATTATTTAAGTTTTTTTTTATAAAATATAGGATGTAAATAATATATCTTATGTATTATTTTAATTTGGAAGTTCATGGGACCCTGGACCCTTAGCGGATCCGCCAATGGCCGCCATGTCAGCACATCACCTCCTGACGTGGCACACAAGTGGTAGTCAATCAACACTGAATTTGCTGACGTAGCGCACTCGTGATTTCGTGAAAGTCTAGCTAGCCATTTCTTGATGATATGGCGCACACGTGAACCGTCACTTGTACGCCACGTCAGCGCGTAACCCGTTAATGGATTCAATTGAACGTTTTTTCAAAGTTTACAGATGATCTCATTTTAATTTTAAAATCAAGTATTGAAAACTCCAAGTTGTACGTATTAACAAATGAGGTCTCCTTGGCACCAAAAGAAAATAGATAAATTTGTATTTGAGGCAATGTGTTGTGGATCATTTTTATAGATAGTTTTATTTCGCTTTTCTTCAATGGAGAACACTAATCCATTATCAATGATCAGTTACTTGAATATTCTACGGGACAAGGTGAAGGTGGTAGAGTGGTCCATTGAGGCGGAATACAAATTAAATATGCCATCTTCTCCTAATTTATTCCATCTATGTATCGGTCCTATATACTCCTATCAAGGTAGTGTCAACTGTCAAGTATGGTCCATTGAGGCTATTTGCTTTTGTATGCAGCAAAGGGTCAGTTTACAATTTTATGATATACTCCCTAGCTAGCTATTATGATCATGTCTCATCTGATTTGGTAATATTATGTTCCATATAATCTGTTTTAATGAGTATAGTCTTAAAATATAGAAATATATCAATTTTTAGGCGTCTATCTAAGTCGACCTAGTGTTTTAAAGATTGTACTGAACCATGAAGTATAATTTGATCATAATTCCAATCAAATTGGAGGCCATTTCGTAAGTGGCATTTAGCTTCCTTTAACTATCGTTGAATTAGTCGGCTAAAGAGACTTGTATTTGACCAGAATACGAATTGAATTAGAATCTTAATTAATACGAAGTAATAATTCTATCGAAATTTGAAATTTGATGGGCTAGCTGTATAGAGATATTCCGTATTACGTTACGATCAAATGATTAATTAATGATCATATGTTTTTCAAAATTCAAATGAATACTTTTGACACGTGAATGTCATGTACAATATATTGTTATATTCTAAATTTCTAATCTCCTTTTCGTCTTTGAATTAAACTTGCTCAAAGTTAAATCCACGGTCAAATATGTATATACCGAGTGTCTTTTCGTCACTTGTGCTTCATTTACGATTTTACTGAATCAATTTGTTATCTAACCATCGTTTAAGAGGTGTAAAAAACTACCCTTCAAGTTTTGTGTGTGTGGGGAAGAAACCACCCTTCAAGAATTGAATTATATTAATAACATCATAAGAATCATATCATCTTCCTCACGATATAATAATCAGTATTTTCATTATCATTTCTCTTTCTTTCATTTTCCTCTATCTCTCTCGGTTTATACTGTTTATTACGCTCCGTATTCCAGAAAAAGGAACTTTTTGAGTATTGTTAAATGAGTAATTCTTGGTTTAAACAAAATACGTACACAAATTGAAAACTATCTGTATACACAAATATTTAAGAATAAAATCATGTTCTTTTTCAAATGAATTGTCTTTATACACAGACAATTAGTGTACACAGCCAATTAGTGTACACAGCCAATTAGAGGATTTGTGTACACATTGTCACCTAATTATATATACATCTAGCATTTTTGTTGTTTAATAAGGAAACCATTCTCGTAGAAATGTTACACTGGAATACCGGATAGTTATTTTCTTGAAAGAAAACGCTATCCACAACTGACAAAAATGGAAGAAATGCAACATTATTGTGAGGAAAATGTTTCCTTGTTTTCAAAATGAGGATAACAATTTCTCACAAAAGATTAAAGAAGGGCATAAATAACTTAGTTGCAATATTTAAGCATATACGAGTAGAAGCTAATGAGTGCATATCAAATAAATTGCAGACCTAAAAATCTCACTGATCAATCGGAGTCAAAGAAAATGATTGACCACCGACTGATGATTGAGTCTCCTGGCTACTTAAATTTTGCGTGTGACTTGAAACTCGACCCGAATTTAACCAGCAAAACCCTTGGCCGGGTTGCGTCTGCTGGTCAAAAGCTGCCGCCGTCGCCAATTTCATGTCCTGGTATCTGGACCGATAAAACGCGAGTTCCTGATTCACAGCTTCCAATTCCGCAATGCTACATTGCAAATGGCTATACAGAGTCCTGATCGTATTGCGGCAGCCACCAACGGGATCGGCAGCGCGGGCATTGGCTTCATAGATTACGGACACCATGAAATCGTCCCTGTATTCTTCATCGATGCTGGCCAGAGCTTTGGTGAGGTTCTTTATGCCGAACAGTTTGTGGGCATTGATGAAATCTCGCCGTTTGCACGCCGGAAAGTAAGGAGCTAAGGGGCAATTCGGGCCGCATTTTCTCCGCTGGTGGCTACAGGCGGCGCAGACTTTTGATCCTTTGGATCTGGGTCCGGAAGAACTGGGTTTTATGTCCCGGGTTGAGGGGCGATGGTTTTGATCCGTTGATTCACTTCCCATTTTTTCCGAGACAGCAGTAAAATGTCGGCTTGATTTTCTGCGAGGCTTGTGGAATTTTCGGTAGTTTCTCGGCGTTTCTTGGAAGATGACGACTTGGGAAGAAACCAGAAACTGAACGGAAAATGAGGAACGTGTGGGGGCGAATCTCCGTACAGGAGAGAATGTGCAGTACTTATCCAAACTAAGAGGGGGGTAGTTTTTTATTTGAAAAAAAATGATCAAATAAGTCCTTATATAGGAGACTCTGTCCGGCCGTCGCGATTTGAACGATTCTCGATGGAATTTTTTGATGAATTTTTTTGAGCATCTTATTCATCAAGTCTAGTTTACTCATACCAATAAATGCGTAGTTATCTTCAAGAATTAATTTGAATGCGTTTCCGATTGAAGTTTTAGCTGAAATTTGGTATGCGTAAACTAGACTTGATGAATAAGATGCTAAAAAAGTTTCATCAAAAAATTCCTCCGGGAACCGCCCCAAATCGCGACGGCCGGACAGAGCCTCCTATATAAGGATTTATTTGACCTTTTTATTTCCCTAATATGTGTGTAAGTCAAACCGGAAAGTTGTTTCGGGAATCGGGGAGGGAGGGACGATTAGGGAAAAAATTGTAAAACCCAAAAATAGTGCATTCAATTCTTCTATGAAAAATAGTAAAATACATAAATGATCATTGAACTATCATCACCATATCATTTTGGTTCTCGAACTATTAAATCTATCATTTTAGTCTTTAATCTATTTCATCTATATTAATTGAGTCATTCCGTTAAAATAGAAAGAATGGCATGAATATTACTCCTCAAGTTTTATTGGAAAAAAATAAGACTCTTTTAAAGTTAGACACAAAAGTGACCCAGACTCTTCCGTGCTTTCAATAATTCGGCTTCCTGCTTCCGTCCTCATCGAACCACCACCGTCTAAGCTCAGCCAACGTATCCTTCGGGCTGGTATTCTCTCCTCTGTCCTCATCGCTGAAGCACCAACACCCAAGTCCGCCGCCCGCATCCTTTCTTCTTCGCAGCTCATCTCTACCAATCTGCCATCATTGGTGACTTACTTCATCGTTCTCCTGCCCTACATCACCGATACTTGATGGAATCAACAAAGACATCATTGATCATTGATGTTAGGGTTTTGAATTGCAAACACGAACTGAAATTTTTATTCTCGATCTCCCAATTTCTGCATCTACCGTGACATCTCCGTTCCCCTCACTATCATCGTCGATGGAGTAAGATTAGCACGCCGTATTTCTGTTGCAGAGTTTCCACGCTGGAGAAAGAGGCGCCGCCGGAGTAAGATTAGCGTCAGCGGACTGATTTTCTCTCCAGAGATGAAATTAAAGTTGTGGTGTTGGAGGTTTGACCTTCGGATCTGCCATCAAACTGCAGCAAGACTCCCCACGTTTTCCAACGGGAGAGGAAGCCACCAAGTGCTGGGTGAGGCAGGGGGTTGGGGTGACGTAGGGGAGGGAGCTGGGGTGATGTAGAGAGGGGGCTGGGTGAGATAGGGGCTGGGGGAGGCAGGGGAGGGGTATGGTGGGGCAGGGGTTTGGGTATGGTGGCTGCCAGCGTTGGGGATGGTGCAAGCTGGGGCGTGGGGCCGGTGAGGTTAGGCGGTTATCATTGGATGAAGCGGTACAACAACGTAATTGGGCGGTGTGGGCGGCAGTGTGGCCCGTGGAATGACTACAGTGACACGGGCGGACGCCGCAGTGACACGGACGGTGGCCACAGTGACACAGGCGGTGGCCACAGTTACACGGGCGGTGGTTACAGTGACACGGGCGGAAGCGGCAGTGACACGTGCGGTGGTGGCAGTGACATTTGATAGTGACATTAAAACAAGATAGTGACATTAAAATCTGAGAATGACATTAACATGACCTTCTTGATCACTTTTTTGCCCCTTTTCAAAAGTGTTCACTTTTTTTATAATGGGTTCAAAACTACTAATATTCAAATAAAAACCCCGTTAAAATATGCTGTTAACATTGACGGTAGCTAATTAATATATTAACATCTCATATTTTTATACATTTTAGAACAATACAATCATTGTTAAAATTTAAGTAGCTAATCTAGTTTTTTTATAATATACAGATATAGAGGTGAGGACTGCTCAGGTCCCTCCGGAGGGACGGGAGGGACCGTCCGAACTTTACTGTTTGGCGCGGTTCCCGGTGGAATTTTTTGATGAAATTTTTTGAGCATGTTCCTCATCAAGTCTAGTTTGTCCATACCAAATTTCAGCTCAAAATTCGACCGGGAAGGCAGTCAAATAAATTCTTGAAACTTACTGCACTTTATATATGCGCAGAATGTGCAGTAAGCTTCAAGAATTTATTTGACTGTCTTCCCGGTCGAATTTTGAGCTGAAATTTGGTATGGACAAACTAGACTTGATGAGGAACATGCTCAAAAAATTTCATCAAAAAATTCCACCGGGAACCGCCCCAAACAGTGAAGTTCGGACGGTCCCTCCCGTCCCTCCGGAGGGACCTGATCTTTTCTGTACAGATATATACACATACACATATAAAAATTATAAATAAATAATATAACATCAAATGTATGACTTAAATAATATATGTCTTTCGTCCCGCTAAAATTGTCTCATCTTTTATTTTGATCCGTCCGACTATGATTATTCATACCAAATTTGACAAAATTTGTGTGGTTTTTTTATCTTTTTTACTCTATGAAGACGACTGCGACGCATGTGGATGGCCTCGACGACGGGGGAGGCGTGTGTTGTGGCGATGGGGGCAGGGGGTGTCACGGAGACAGGGCGGCTGGTTAATTGCTATGGTTTTTAAAAAATGAGTAGGAAGTTAGAATTTTACAATATCAATCTAAGAGTATATTCTGGTAAAAAATGTAAGGGAAAATTAGTCGATTAAATCTATTTATTTATTAAATATTATGAATTTAAATATGCAGTATTGTTTTGGGAAAAAAACTAATGAGGTCATGTATTGGAAAAGTGGATGAGTAGTTTTAGTCATACCTAAAATATTTTTTTGTTAAATATAATTAATAATAATAACAATCATCTTCATTTTCATATTTAATTTTATCTACTCATATGTATATAATTAAGTTTTTTTATTCTCTCTTAAGGCCTAAGTACTTTTTAGGCCATACATTTGATTTTATATTATTTATTTATAATTTTTGTATGTGTACGTGTGTGTGTATATATATATATATATATATATATATAGAATTAGGTTCAAGTGAGAAAATGATCTTAGGAGAGAAATGAGAATGAATCTGGACCGTTAGATTGTAATCTGTGAAATTGAATGTGCATTTAGTGAAACTGAAATGTGCATTACGTGAAATCAAAATGTGCAGCATAAAAGGTAAGCTGAAATGTGCACTAGGTGAAACTGAAATGTGCAGAATAAAACTATGATGTAGTGGCATTTTTTTAGCCTTTTATTCTGCACATTTAAATTTCACGTAATGCACATTTGAGTTGTACTTTTCATTCTGCACATTTCAATTTCACTTCATGCACATTTCAGTTTTACCAAATGCACAGTTCAATTTCACATCATACAATCCAACGGTCCAGATTCATTCTCATTTCTCTCCTGGGAGTCCTTTCTCACTGGAACTCTCCCCTATATATATATATATATATATATATATATATATATATATATATATATATATATATATATATATACACACACACACACACACGTATATTTAAAAAACTATATTAGCTACTTAAATTTTAAGAATTATTGTATTGTTCTCAAAGTGTTTAAAACTATGAGATGCTAATAAATTAATTAGCTATCGGCAAAGTTAACGGCAAATTTTAACGGAAGGACTCAATTAATATAGATGAAATAGATTAAGGACTAAAATGATATATATAATAGTTCAAGGACCAAAACGATATGGTGATGATAGTTCAAGGACCATTTATGCATTTTATTTACGAAAAAATTGCGTTTTTAAAATTATAAAAATTGTGTTTCAACTCTTTTGGGAAAAAGTAGTGCTTTCAATTACGGTGTTTTCAAATATTATTTCTTCTTTTGCTTATTTAGACCTTGCATGTGGTTGGTAAGTCTAAAGTTCAAGTCGAAATGCTGAAAAATTTCAGTTGAACGTAGATTTTCTTTCAAGTGGTTAGGGGCGGACCTGGTCCATCGAATCGAAATTGTGCCCAAAATTGTTTGAGACCGGCACGGGACCGGTTCTCCGATCTGGTTCTGATCAAGGATCGCTCTCACCGCTACTACGTTACCCGATCCTGGGTGTGACTATTTGAGACCAAGACATGCAACTCGAACTATGACTAAAATCCTGGAGGGGGGAGGGGATGAAGCTTCATTCGCTGATACGTAGCATATGAAACTAACTGCCATTTACTTGGTAATTGAATACGATAGTATGTGAGACTAAAAACGTACTCGGTAATTCAATAATAAAAATCTACCAACTATGGAGTATAATATAAATTGAAGTGAATGATTTATTTTGGGACATCCTGAAAAGGAAAAATGAAACTTCATTTCCACTCCGAGAGTATTAATTTAAATTATTAATTACCTAGTACGTAGTATTTGTTTATGCAAGAATAAACTAGTCTACAAGAATATATATCTAAGAAATTGGGATCGTACAAGAATGATAACCAATCACTAAAACAAGAATAGAAATTATATATATATTGATGAACGTACGATCATGTTTTTTTTACAAAGTAGATAGAGTGTCAGTTTTTTTTATCTAGTCGATCATGTTTTACAAGAAGTATCAAATAGTCTATTGATAGTGTTGAATATGTAGTTTTATTGATGACTAGCCATGTAGGAACGAATGACAGAATGAGTCTATAATTCACTTGAATCACTTATGCATTAATTAACTAACCATGTAGGTGGACGTTGGTATACGTTCTGACTAGAACAAATAAACTGAACTATACTTAGGTCTATATGGATTATAATATATGCGTGCATGGTTATGTCTTTGGTGTGATATCCTTCCCTACGTGATTGCATGATTAACTTTTGGAAATTAAAGTATCTTTAATGGAGCATTTGAAATATTTCTAAGAAAAGTTCCACATGCTAATTGCATTAAAAAGGAATATGTTTAAACATATATATGAGTACACGTAGCATCATGCATAGCTTGACTTTAAATAAATTAAGTATGGAAAGTATCTTTACTTATAAATGCTCTATGTTCGTTGCATGCTTAGTAAGGAAAATTTCCTTAACCTTTTGAGTTGACTGAAGTTTGTTTTGTAAAGAATAAAAGCCACCTAGAGTTACTTCATCTTTATTTGACCACATGATTTTGATGTACAATTGATATGCTAATTGATCACAAGATTTTTTTTTTTACTCCAGGGGGGTCTGGGGGAGGGGGTCTAGGGGAACCTGGAGTAATCAGGGCTGAAACTCATTTCATTGAGTTTCAAACCATTATGTGCCTAGCGGGTTTTGAACTCGAGACCTCCACTAAGCACGGTAACCTCACAACCAGCTGAGCTGGAATGCTTGGTCACAAGATCTTGATGCCTTAAGTAGGCTACCTAAGTAAATGAGCTCGGATATGGAAGCTAGTATGCAAGGAAAGCAATTTGAACATTTCAAGGCAAGTCCAAATATCCAATAAAGGAAAGAGGAGCCAACGGGTGTCATTCCTAACGAGCTATATATATATTCGGCAGAAGAGAAAAATGAAGGGGTGTGCTTAACCGAGAAAATTCAAGAGAGATACTCAAGAAACAAATGTCAAGTCCAAGGCCCCAGGAACTGCTCACGAAGTTCTAGATATAGTTTCCTATTCTCTTCTCTTTTTGTAATTGGGATTTTTAAGGATTAGCTAAGTGTAGCTTCCTCGGGTTGGGGACAAGTGTGTTGTGATACCTTTACTGTAAAGCTGAGAGGCTGACTACCCACAAGGTAGAGATGCAAAATGTGACACCGCACCCGGATGTACTTGAATTTGAAACTTAAAATGTACTTGAACTTCCTAGCGAATAAATTTCGTGTGATTGATTGATACATTTAATTAATGTGTGATTAATTAAATTATTCTTCGGGTCCATTATATGAGAATGGGCTACCAGATATTTAGTCGGGTCATCATAATAAATTATAGAAGCCCAATAATGTGCCAACTTAAGTTGATGAAAATATTTGGACAACCCGAGTGTTATTTTGGCCCAGCCTGCCAAAAATATCAGGAATAATTGGGAGGGACTTCCTATACCCATTTGGGATATCCTACAAGCTAAAATACTACACACAATAGGGAGGGGGACAAGAACAAAAGAGGGGAGGGGCGGATGACTAAGGGGGGAGTCTCCTAAAAGACACACTCACACCCCATGTCCCTATTACCTCAAATCATTTGAGCAATTGATTGAGAAGCAATCATCTCCTCTTGCTCATTCACCATTCGACCAAAGCAAGGAGAGGAGCTCAAGGGAAAAGTCTCCACAACCTCCAAGCTTGAAGGCAACATCAACAAAAGAAGTCCAAGGAGAAAAGGGTTGTTCTTGAGGTAAGAACACAAGTATTATCCTTTAACTAGTATTATTTTTGTATGATTTTTAAGAAATCATATGATGGATTAAGCATGAAGTTCTACACGTTTAAAAGTGTAGAATAATGTTATAAAGTGGTGGTAATTAACTTAGAAGAGTCGTGGAATCGATAGGAGTTGAAATCGCCGGAAACCGCCACTTGAAGGAAGCTGTTCGTAGCTGCAGACGACGAAAGCCGCCCACCTTTCACCAAAGCCGCCCGGCTTTCGTCTGCTGCCCAGATTTTTCATCTCCAATCGGTTTAGAACGGGGATTGATCGAAAGGCTTAACAAAGGCAACTATTTCAGCACTTCATAAGGTGAGGATGGCTGACTATGTTGCTTATAATCTTTGGGTTAATTTCGTAGGATTACCTAAAGTAATTAAATGTGATTTTCATGGATTATTAATGATTAATAATGCCTAAATGAAAATATTGTTGTCAATGAATAAAGGAGCATAATATACAAATTTAAGGATAAATTATTTATGATTATGAAATATGAGCATATTGGCTTGATGAAGGGATTAATTATAAATATTGTGTTGAAATATAACTTTAACTTCATATAAGGATACATGAGTGATTAAAGGTTATATTTTGTATATTGATATGAACTATATTTCCAATGGAAAATTAGTTTGGAAATTGTCTATATGACTATGAATTGAAAATGGCTTTTTGTTGGAATTTATCCGACTAGTATTATGATACTAGTCGGGGTATTGAAATGAGAATATGTTAGAATTGATCCAAGGTTTGGATTGTAAATTGTTGAGCCTTAAGTAGTCTTAAGAGATACTAAGGTGGATAAGTATGAGCTAAGTGGTGTTAGGGGTAGGCCTTGAGGGATACCCAAGATAAAGTGAATGATAAATTGATCCTAGATATAGGATTGGCCTACGGGTGTATTCGGTAGTCTTTGAGGATTAGCCGATTAAGTATTGGTAATTAGTAAGGACCATGGCCCTTCCCGACTCTAGAGAGCGGGGTTGGATAGCATGGACTTACATCGTGATCACGGGTTAGGGTGGAATCTGAACCGGAGACCTTACGAGGCTCCCGACAGCGGTAACACATAAGATAGGACCCCGAATGGACCTTACCTTCCTACGGGATGATGGGTATGAGTTCAGGGGCGGGATGTTGGACTCCGGCCCGAGAGCCCGGTGAGGCCTCGGAGAGCGGTGACAAGTCTCGTAAAGGATGATAAGACCTACGGGCGGTGTCGTGCTAACGACGGGTATAATGAAATATATGAAATGGGCCGTGTGCCGACAAATAAATAAATTTACTTATTATAGAGATAATAAGTGGGAAATATAAATTATTATTTATATTATGATATCACCCTATTTTGAGGGTCTTAGAAATTAAAACGTTGATTATACTTAGTATAGTTGTCATTGTACTTGTCAAATGCTTCCAAGTACTGACCTCCCCTTCACGGGGGAGGCCACCTCACAGTTTCAGGTAGGGAGTAAAGCTTGCTACCATCGCCCGTTGCTTCGGGGAGCTCAGGGAGAGAAGACGTGGTTCGTGCTTCCTCCGTTCCATTCTTAAAACATTAAATTAATGCTCATGGATATTATTTTGATTAATTATTTGGGGCTTGTACGCCCATGTGATAGGCTCGTTCCGTTCCTATCTTTTCACCCATATTTTGGGTGCTCATTGTCTAATTTTTGTAATTAACCAGGTGACTATTGGGGGTTTTGAGTAAAAATTTGCTAATTTTCGGTCCCGATGGCAGTCATATTGGAAATAGTATTTTTTCTACACAATTTGACATTTTTGGAGTAATTTGATTGTAAAGTTACATATTATTAGCGGGTGTGGTGAGTTGTTATTGTACAGGCTGAGTTCGCGGTGAATATGTTTGGACCGGATCATTAAAGGACGGTTTTTGAAGTTATTGTGTGCAATCCAAAAAGATTAAGGGAGTGTTTGCAACTGCTTCTGCTTAAAAAAAAGCACTTTTGGAGAAGTAATGAAAAAGTGATTGGTAGTAAAAGTTGATAGTGTTTGAGAAAAAAGTGATTTTGAAAAGTAAAAGTTGGTAGTGTTTGGTAAAATAAGTGCTTTTTGTGTAATAGAAAAGGGAAAAGCACTTTTCACACGCAAGCCGAGAAAAAGTAAAAATTGGTAGTGTTTGGTAAATAAGTGCTTTTTAAAGCCAAAAGCTGAGAAGTGCTTTTTTTTAAGCAGTTGCAAACACTCCCTAAGTCAGCCCAACAAATGAAAAAAAAAAAATAATGGCAGCAGTTTGTTCGTTTCACTGGCAGCCCAAAAAGAAAAGGAAAAATGGATCAACTGGGTTTTTTTTTGGGAGGAACCAGCAGCCGCACGGAGGATTCGATCTGTTCTATTCTTTCTGGGATCACACTTAGCCGCAGTTCATCAATTCATTTTTTTTTTCCCCAACACAAGCAGCCATAGGTAGGAGGTTTTTCTTTCGTTCTGGTCAATTAGTCGAAGCAAGCAGATCTTCAATTCCTAGCACAGCAGCAACGCTTTTCTTTTCTCTCCTTTGAAGTAGCCGTAGCAGCAACCAAGAACCAAGGAGGTTCTTAAACTTCGATTTCTTTCAATTCAATTTAGACTCCAAGTAATGGTTGTAAATTTCAGCACTATCTACATTCTTATTCTTGATTTTGGATTGAATTTGAACTTCTTAGTCTATAGTTAATAACTTCCGATTTTCTCATTTAATTAAGTCATTGCCTTTTTTACTTTAATTAAATATTTAACCAGCTCCTTATAATGCTTTTCAATATTATTGTGATGTTAATTTTAAGTATGAGTAGCTAATTCCATATAGGGTTTGAATTGGGGCTAGGGTTCATGGGTTCTTGAGGGTGTGAATTTAGTTTTTGAAATTCAATTAATTTTCTGGATAGTTGTATAAGGTTAATCCTAATTGCCTATATGAATTTGATCACCTCATATATGAATGTTTAGATTTAATTCAATTCTTGTCTATGAGAAATTGAGTTAAATTAGCTCAGGTCTTATACAAGCAATCTGACCTTAGAAATAAGTTAGGATTGTGAAATATTGATCTGATTCTTGTCTATGAGAACTCATTTCATTTTCTTTCCAGAAATAATCGAAAATTAATTTACTTAATTCTAATCCCGAAAGAACACCCAGAACCCGAACCATCCAATTTGAACCCTGTTTTAATATCTAGAATCATTTTTTTTTTCTCTACTTATTTTTTGCAGTCGCTATTAGTTAGTTTTTTTTCTTAACACTCAAAAAAAATATTTATTCGGAAAGATTACCATGACTTGTGCTGGCCTGTGATCACGGACTGTATTTAAAACTTCCTTTTTGCCACTCCTTGAGAGACGATACTCGTGGTCTGGTTATTCTTCGGATTAGCCAACTACGTTTTACTCACTAAAAAAATACACCGATCAAATGGCGCCGTTGCCGGGGAGTGGCACGGTTGTTTGTTAAGTACTTTCTGTGGAATAGGTAAAAGCAAGTCGGTGAGACTTTCTATTTTTTTTTTTTTTTTTTCCTGTTATTTGTTTGTCGTTTTTGGTGTTCTTTGCACGTGAACTAAGCTGCAGGAACCGGTGTATGCACACACGTGCTCGGGGAACTGAAGGCTTGATCCCATTGAATCCAAACCCCGAGCGTATTTTGAGAAGAAGAAAAGGAAGGTCAAGAAACATGGCCGGAGAACAACAGCCCGCAAGGAGGACAATGTATGAACAAATTACTCCGCAATTTGCAGAGGTTGATGGAATAACCATGCCGGGCATTGAAGCTGCAAATTACCAACTATCTCCCGGATTAATCAATCTAGCTCAGAGTAACCAGTTCGGAGGGATGAGACATGAAGATGCCCAGACACATATGCGTTGGTTTAATCGTCTCTGTCGGACCTCGCGAATCAATGGAGTTTCTGAAGCAGCTAACAAATTACTTTTGTTCCCATTCACTCTAAGGGACAAGGCGCAACACTGGCTCGATAGCCACACTTTTGCCACCTGGGATGAATTATACCAAGCTTTCATGAAACAGTACTGCCCAGCATCCGCAGGAATCAAAGCCAAGGCAGCTCTCCAGAACTTTAGGCAAGGGAGGAACGAGACATTGAGTGAGGCTTGGGAGCGGTACAAGGAGCTCCGAATTAACTGTCCATCCAACATCATGGAGAGCATGGACACCATATTTCACTTCTACAATGGGTTGTCCATTGAGAGCAAAAAGGAGTTGGATTACTCTTCTAAAACAGGTTCAATCCTAAGGCTAACATCAGGAGAAGGTGAAGAACTGATAGAGACTATTACCTCAAATGAGAGGTACTGGTATGATGAGCGAAGTGAAAGAGCGCCACAGAAGGCAGGATTATATGAGGTTGATTCTAGTACAGCTGCTGCCGCAAAACTGGATGCTCTTGTCCTAAAGTTTGAGAAACTCTATGAAGCTCAGGCGCAGAACCAATACCAAGGTGGCCAGGGGATGAACCAGAGGAGTGTTCGACCAATGCCAAACCAGAATCCAGTGAGAGACATGGTGCTTTCGTGTGATCATTGTTTCGGAGCCCACCTGACCAATTCATGTCCTCAATTCTTTGAAGAGCCCATTTCACCTCAAGAAGTAAATCTTATGGAGTATGGTAAGAAAGGAGAGGGTCCACTAGCACCTCAATACCAAGGAAACCGGGGTAACTTTGCTGGCTACAACAACCAGAGGAATAATTTTCAGAGTGGTGCAAACCAGTGGAGAGATAATAACCGCCAAGGTGGGTACCAACGAGGCCAAGGAAGTGGCAGCAACCAGCCTTATGTGCCCCCACATATCAGACAACAAGATAATTCAGCTCATTCCCAACTAGATTTGGTGCTTGCAGAGCTGACACGGGCTAGAGAAGAAAATGAATTAAGAGATAAAAGAGCAAGAGAGGAAAAGATTTTGATGGAGCAGCGGTTGAGGAACCTTGAGCTGCAACATGAGCAGCGAATACGGGAACTAGAGAACAGATTCTTTGCAGGTCCTTCCGGGAGGCAGTCTGGAAGCCTTCCCAGCACTACAGAGCCAAACCCAAGAGAGCATGTGAATGCAATAAATCTGCGCAGTGGGAAGCAAGTTCGTGAACCAATGGTGGATGCCAAAGAGAGCCAAGCCCAGAGTGTTCCTAGCTGTCCAGGAAAGAGTGCAGAGCTAGAAAGCCCAGAACCTTTTCAAAGACAATCTGAAGGTGAGCTAAAGTTCAATTCTGACCCGCCAGGCCAGCGAGAGGGTAAAGCAATCATCGAGCAGAATACACCCCAACAAGAGACCAAGAGGGCTAATGCACCAGTTGTTCCATTCCCTACTCGTGTCAAGAAGGGCGAGGACCGCAAGAGAGAATACAAGTTTATGGAGATGATTAGCAAACTACATGTGGAGATGCCACTCACAGAAGTACTTGCGGAGATGCCTAAATATGCAAGGTTCTTGAAGGACTTAATCACCAACAAAAAGAGGCTAGAGGAGTACTCTGTGGTTGACCTAAATGCAGAGTGCTCAGCTGTGGTGACAAAGATGATGCCGGAAAAGCTCAAGGATCCAGGTTCTTTCATTATACCTTGTTCTATTCATGATTATGTTTTTAAAAATGCACTAGCTGATCTAGGAGCCAGCATCAACTTGATGCCGGCTTCTCTTGTTGATAAGTTGGGACTGGGTGGAATGAAACCCACTAGGATGTGTCTTCAATTAGCCGATCGCTCTATTAAGTACCCAAGTGGTATTATTGAGGACGTCCTAGTCAGGGTTGGTGAGTTTATTTTTCCTGTAGATTTTGTCGTTATGGATATAGAGGAGGATCGTGGTACCCCTCTTATTTTGGGGCGGCCCTTCTTGGCCACTGCCCGTGCTGTTATTGATGTGTCTGATGGTTCATTGACTCTGAGAATTGGAGAGGACACTTGTACTTTTCGACTCTCAGAAGTTATGAACCACCCCGAGGCACAAACTGAGAGCTGTAATTTTCTTCATATGTATGAGTGCATTGAGGATTATTTATTTGGGGGCCAGGGTGAGAGTGATTATTCTGATGATACTGCATGTGGTGAGGTCTTAGATGTGGGTATGTGTGATGATGAAATGTTATCTCATGAACTTAAATGCTCTGTTGATGATTTGCTAGGAGAAGCCTCTCAAGAGGTTTCAGGTAGTACTGTTGTTGATACACCCCCATGTGAGCAGTTTTCTGAGCTTAAAAGGCTCCCAGAACACCTACAGTACGCTTCATTGGATGATGAGGGCAAACACCCCATTATCATTGCTTCTGATTTAGAGAGAGATGAAAAAGATAAGGTTGTGTCCTTGCTTAGGCGGCGTGAAGGGGCCATTGCCCGCACGCTGGGGGATATTAAGGGGATCGATCCTACCCTTTGCACACATAGGATTAGCATTGAGGAAGGGTTCAGACCGACAGTGCAACCACTGCGCAGGTTGAACCCTAATTTGATGGAGGTTGTGAGAACCGAGATTTTGAGGCTTTTAGATGCAGACATTATATACCCAATTTCTGATAGTAGTTGGGTGAGTCCTATTCATATGGTTCCTAAGAAAGGGGGAATGACTGCTGTTGAGAATGACAAAGGGGAGTTAATACCTACTCGCATTGTGTCAGGGTGGCGGATGGTGATTGATTACCGAAAACTAAATGATGCCACCCGGAAAGACCACTTCCCTTTGCCATTTATTGATCAGTTAGTTGAGAATTTAGCAGGGCACGGGTATTATTGTTTCTTAGATGGGATGAGTGGGTACTTCCAGATTCATGTAGACCCTAGAGATCAGGAGAAGACCACCTTTACTTGTCCCTTTGGCACTTTTGCTTTCCGTAGGATGCCCTTCGGTTTGTGTAATGCTCCTGCTACATTTATGCGTTGTATGCTAGCCATTTTTGACAGGTTTATTGGAGATTTCATGGAAGTATTTATGGATGATTTTTCTGTGTTCGGTGATACTTTTGACTCTTGCTTAACTAACCTTGACAGGGTGCTTGCTAGATGTGAGGAGACCCACTTGGCCTTAAGTTGGGAGAAATGCCACTTTATGGTCAGGGAGGGCATTGTTTTAGGGCATAAGGTTTCTGAAAAGGGAATTGAGGTTGATAAGGCGAAGGTTGAGGCTATAGAGAAACTTCCGTATCCAACCACAGTAAAAGCCATCCGTAGCTTTCTTGGGCACGCTGGTTTTTACCGCCGGTTTATACAGGATTTCTCTAAGATTGCCCGACCTTTGACTAATCTTTTAGGGAAAGATGTACCTTTTGATTTTTCACCTGATTGTGTTGTTGCTTTTGATACTTTGAAAAGGAAATTGACTGAGGCTCCCATTCTTGCTACACCCGATTGGTCTTTACCTTTCGAGATAATGTGTGATGCTAGCGATCAAGTGGTTGGGGCTATCCTGGGTCAAACCAAGGATAAGCACTTTCGCCCTATCTACTATGCCAGTAAGACTTTAGCGGGGCCTCAGCTCAATTATACTACTACTGAAAAAGAGTTTTTGGCTATTGTGTTTGCTTTGGAGAAATTTAGACCCTACATCATTCTTTCTAAGGTAATTGTCTTCACTGACCATGCGGCTTTGAGGTATTTACTTCAGAAGAATGATGCAAGGCCTAGGCTTCTCCGCTGGATTCTTTTGTTGCAGGAATTCTATGTGGAGATCAAAGATCGAAAGGGGACCGCTAACCAAGCAGCGGATCATTTATCTAGACTAGAGACTGAAGTGGTGGAGACATTCAAAAAGTTTGAGCTTGAAGAGACTTTTCCAGATGAGAGGCTTCTCGCCATTCAGCACGGTTCAAAGATGCCTTGGTATGCAGATCTTGCTAACTTTCTTGTGGGCAAAGTTGAACCTGCCGGGATGTCTCGCCACATGATTAAGAGATTGAAGTCTGAAGCCAAGCATTACTTCTGGGATGATCCATACTTGTTCAAAATTTGTGCTGACCAAGTTGTGAGAAGATGTGTACCTGAACAAGAAGGAAAGGAGATTCTAATGCATTGTCATACTGGACCCACATGAGGTCACTTCTCAGGAGAGAGGACTGCCAGGAAAGTTCTCGATTGTGGATTCTATTGGCCCACCATTTTTAAGGATGCTCATGCTTATGTTTCAGCTTGTGATCAGTGCCAGAGGACTGGGAACATATCCCGGAGGGATGAGATGCCACAACACTATATTTTGCCATGTGAAGTGTTCGATGTGTGGGGAATTGATTTCATGGGCCCTTTCCCGAGTTCGAAAGGGAACAAGTTCATAATAGTTGCTGTTGATTATGTGTCCAAGTGGGTGGAGGCCCAAGCATGTTCCACGAATGACACAAAGGTGGTTGTCCGATTCTTAAAGAAGTTATTTGCACGATTTGGTGTTCCCAGAATCTTGATCAGTGATAGGGGCAGCCATTTCAGAAGTGACCCTATGGCCCGTATCCTTCAGCGATATGGTGTTCAACACAGAAGCGGAGTGGCCTACCATCCCCAGTCTCAAGGTCAGGTTGAAAATTCAAATAGAGAAATCAAGGCAGTATTGGAAAAGACAGTTGGTCGGTCAAGAAAGGACTGGGCAGAAAAGCTTGATGATGCTTTGTGGGCTATTCGAACAGCATATAAAACTCCTGTTGGCGCCACACCATTCAGGTTGGTTTATGGAAAATCATGTCATCTTCCAGTGGAGGTCGAGCATAAGGCATTTTGGGCTCTGAAGAATGTTGTATTTGACCTTGAAGGGGCTGGAAAGGAGAGATTTTATCAGCTGAATGAGCTTGAAGAGTGGCGTGCTATGGCCTTCCACAACAACCATTTGTATAAGGAGCGAGTGAAGCAATATCATGATAGGCACATCAAGCAATCCCGCGAGTTTAGAGTTGGAGATCAGGTGCTGCTGTATAATTCTAGGTTGAAGTTGTTCCCTGGGAAACTGCGTTCCAGATGGTCAGGGCCATTTACTGTGACTGAGGTCTATCCGTATGGCACCATTGAGTTGCATGATCCTGAAAAGGGAAACTTTAAGGTTAATGGTCATCAAGTGAAGCTCTATTATGGTGAGAAAGTGAGCACTGAAAGGGAGGTTCTTTATCTTAAGGAGATTAGCGGCTGAGCATGATCTATCGTCAAGCTAATGACGTTAAAGAAGCGCTTCTGGGAGGCAACCCACCAAAAAAAAAGGAAAAAAAAAAGAAAAAAAAAGAAAAAAGAATTAGGAGTTTGTTATTTCTTGTTTCTGCATTTTTTTTCCCATTGTTTTTGTGATTTCTTCTTGTGGTTGTGCGGTTGGAGTTCTTTGTTTTGAATTGCAGGTGCGGCATGGGAGTCATGAACTGATTTTGGAAGAATTATGGTCCTATGTAGATGGAGTTCCTCAGAGCTACAAGTTGCAGTTTGCTTCACAGAGTGGGATGCTCAAGATGTGGGGCCGTTGGCAGCTTCTATATGGCGCCACATGCTGATTTTTGAGGAATAGATAAGCTGGCCGTTGACAATAGACCATTTTGATGGACAAGACTCTGCTGGCAGATTCAGGTTGGCACTTTGATTTTATGACCCGGCGTATGAGCAGACAGAGGAGTTTCAGCAACTTCTTTCCCAACTAATTTGGGCTAAAAGCCTTCTGGGAATGCCATTCTACACATGATACAAAGTTTGATGCTCATAGAAGTTCTAACAGACTGTGAACCAGGCTGCCTTAATGTGTTTCTTCATTGGAAAAAACCTTCACAGTAGCAGTCAAATCACGAGCAAGGTGCCAGAGTGTTTCATTTTCTTCTTGTGCCGCATTTTGAGCACGTTTCAGTGGACAAAGCAGTGCTCGTAGGCTTGTTTTTACTTCACCAGTGCACCAGACAGCCATTCACACTTACTCAAGATTGAAAGAGTTCAAGTAGCGTACAAGGCAGACTGTGTGAAAGATTCAGCGGTATATATGCATCGAGGGGGCTGAGTTTTGAGTTATTAAGGAGGCTATTCACTGCTGTTTGGTTTGTACGGTATTCTGCTAACTCTTACTACGTTGTTAATAATGTGTGGTTACTCTCATATTACTCCTTTGTTGAATTGTGTTGATTATCATTCTGATTATGATGTGCTGCCGGGCTGAAAATCATTTTATTCTTTAACTTGCCCCTGTTATTTTTGTTTTAATCTTTTCTTTGACCTCGAGGGCGATGTCACCCCTAAGTGTGGGGAGGTTTGGTTTTAGCTTGGTCATGACATTTGGTGATGAAATTATTCCGCCCAAGAACATTTTGAGGTGTACAAATTCTTTTTTCTGGTTTAGCAACGCAACAGAGGTAACTTGTTAATCTTTATTTTCTTTTGTAATCTTCCATCTCCTCCATCTTTCTTGGAAAGAATTAGTAATGGTGTAATCATCGGGGTGGTGTGTATATTCTTGGGAATGTTGGCATGTTGGATGGTTTGATTTGTGTAGATTAAATTCGGTTTTACTCGTGATTCACTAGTTCGTCATTAATAATTCCTTGACTGGCCAAGTGTTGAAAATCCTTACTCCGTAAGGAGCTCTGCTTTCTAAGCATATCGGGATAACTTCATGCTAAGCGGGTAACTGATTCTTGTAATGGGGTTACACTTCATGTGTCGAGAATTTCATCCCTGAAATGGGGCTCTGCTCATCTCGCGAATCACCCTGTGTGAGAGTTGAGTACACAGTAATGAGATAAACTCCCAGGCCCTAGAGCTTGAATCAGTCCTGCAAACCAGAACCTGGTCAACTTTTCATATTAAAAAAAAAAAGAATCACGAGTATACCAGTTTTATCACACAACTCTTGGGTTTTTGGAATGATTGGTGGTTTGGATTTCACACACCTACACCGTTGGGACCATCATGCTTTTCTCTACATTTTAGTCGGTTGGAGAGGAATTTTACTTTTGAAAATATTGTTTAGCATGTGAATCTTGGTTTCGTTGTTAAGAAAGAAAAGACCTTGTGCAGTCATTTGTTTTGGGTGTGAATGGTTTTTGAACCAGGTGTTGCATGTGATTATTTATGTTTCCGTGGGTTTAATGCACTATTGCTTGGGGGCAAGCAACGCTCAAGTGTGGGGAGATTTGATAGGCTCGTTCCGTTCCTATCTTTTCACCCATATTTTGGGTGCTCATTGTCTAATTTTTGTAATTAACCAGGTGACTATTGGGGGTTTTGAGTAAAAATTTGCTAATTTTCGGTCCCGATGGCAGTCATATTGGAAATAGTATTTTTTCTACACAATTTGACATTTTTGGAGTAATTTGATTGTAAAGTTACATATTATTAGCGGGTGTGGTGAGTTGTTATTGTACAGGCTGAGTTCGCGGTGAATATGTTTGGACCGGATCATTAAAGGACGGTTTTTGAAGTTATTGTGTGCAATCCAAAAAGATTAAGTCAGCCCAACAAATGAAAAAAAAAAAATAATGGCAGCAGTTTGTTCGTTTCACTGGCAGCCCAAAAAGAAAAGGAAAAATGGATCAACTGGGTTTTTTTTTGGGAGGAACCAGCAGCCGCACGGAGGATTCGATCTGTTCTATTCTTTCTGGGATCACACTTAGCCGCAGTTCATCAATTCATTTTTTTTTTCCCCAACACAAGCAGCCATAGGTAGGAGGTTTTTCTTTCGTTCTGGTCAATTAGTCGAAGCAAGCAGATCTTCAATTCCTAGCACAGCAGCAACGCTTTTCTTTTCTCTCCTTTGAAGTAGCCGTAGCAGCAACCAAGAACCAAGGAGGTTCTTAAACTTCGATTTCTTTCAATTCAATTTAGACTCCAAGTAATGGTTGTAAATTTCAGCACTATCTACATTCTTATTCTTGATTTTGGATTGAATTTGAACTTCTTAGTCTATAGTTAATAACTTCCGATTTTCTCATTTAATTAAGTCATTGCCTTTTTTACTTTAATTAAATATTTAACCAGCTCCTTATAATGCTTTTCAATATTATTGTGATGTTAATTTTAAGTATGAGTAGCTAATTCCATATAGGGTTTGAATTGGGGCTAGGGTTCATGGGTTCTTGAGGGTGTGAATTTAGTTTTTGAAATTCAATTAATTTTCTGGATAGTTGTATAAGGTTAATCCTAATTGCCTATATGAATTTGATCACCTCATATATGAATGTTTAGATTTAATTCAATTCTTGTCTATGAGAAATTGAGTTAAATTAGCTCAGGTCTTATACAAGCAATCTGACCTTAGAAATAAGTTAGGATTGTGAAATATTGATCTGATTCTTGTCTATGAGAACTCATTTCATTTTCTTTCCAGAAATAATCGAAAATTAATTTACTTAATTCTAATCCCGAAAGAACACCCAGAACCCGAACCATCCAATTTGAACCCTGTTTTAATATCTAGAATCATTTTTTTTTTCTCTACTTATTTTTTGCAGTCGCTATTAGTTAGTTTTTTTTCTTAACACTCAAAAAAAATATTTATTCGGAAAGATTACCATGACTTGTGCTGGCCTGTGATCACGGACTGTATTTAAAACTTCCTTTTTGCCACTCCTTGAGAGACGATACTCGTGGTCTGGTTATTCTTCGGATTAGCCAACTACGTTTTACTCACTAAAAAAATACACCGATCACCATGTTGCCGAAGTGTGGCATAAACACTTGTATTAAACGTTTCCGCTGATTTAAATGATTATTTTACATTATGTTTGTTTATGGATGTACTATTGTGAATGATATTCAAGACGCCTAGTATAGTATGGATGAGTTGGACTGCGGTTGACTATTCGTACTGTACGGCGGGTTGTTGACGTGTCCGGTAGGTCCGGGGCGTGACACAAAACTCTTCCTAGAGAGGATAGAGTTGGGGTGGCTCAAGGGTAGACTAGGAGAGTTATCCTTGTAAACTTTTAAAGGCTTATAGTGAAGTTGTTCAAAATTCCTCCGAGGGAGGTCGAGGTTTTTAATCCCTTTGAGCCAAGGGGTTTTTCCTCGTTAAATACTTGTGCACTTTATTATTTCGCATTTCTCCTTCTCCCACACTAGAACGAGGCGAAAAACTGCCACGGTTCCACACACACACAATTCACCCCCCCTCTTGTGTTGCTAACCGTTTCATCAGATGGCTTCTACTACATTTACTACTGCTCATAGTGAACTGCTGCCTACAGGAACTACCCCTGCAGCCAATGAAGTGATTAAGGCTTCAATAGGAAATGATGATATTCTATCTGATCCTATAAATTATCAGACTACACTTGCCCCAAACGTTTCCTATGATGATACTCTATCTGAGGAAAACAATGCTATTTTCCAAACCTTTTGGTCCTACACAAAATTCCCCTGATGAGGGGGAATGTCCGGAAGGTTTTACCCAAGTTACTAGAAAAAGAAACACAAACAGGACGCCTGCTAATTTTCCAAACACTGGCCAACAAAATTCACATCAATACTACCAGGTGGGATGGATCTTACACCCGATGTAACGACCGTCCCCAAAACGGCCATTACGATACTCAAACATAAAAGAGACTCGATAAACCAAGCGGAAATAAAGATACAAAGCCTCGATATGAGACTTTATTTCTTATATACATAAGCAAACTTCATAACAAAAATGAAAGGTATCCACAATAAAACATACTTAAAACCATTACACCTGATCATGATTTTAAAACGTTTAACAATCCTTTGAAGTACCAACGTACTAAAACAACAACATAACTGATAGCCCGATCATCTCCGTTAACCCATCCAAAACCTTGTCACCGGCTCCATACACTCTCTCAGGCTTCCGTACCTCGTTTATTACCTATACATGAGGACATAAGAGAATAGAATTCTCGTAAGCAATAATGCTTAGTAAGTCACCATTTCATCCACTAAAAACGTTTAGGGAATCTTAGCTAATCATAAATAGATACCCATGCTGAATACACCACACATATACTATAACCAAACATGATAGTAACACATAAGCACTCATGTAACAAACCCCAAAAGATTTCTTTATTCATCATTCTTTCTTTTTATCTTATTTCTTGACTTGATGGGCCCGTGGCTCGTATCCTAGCCCCCCGCTATTGACCTCGAGTAGCTAGCCCTCAGCCATGAGAAGCAACCCCGGGACTCCCCGCGGAAGGAGATCCGGCTACGCTAAGCTCAGGTAGTTACTTGGGGGCACGGCTACCTTGTAACATTACTTATCTTTCATTACTTTCATCATCATCATCATAACATCCTTTCATTGTTGGTTCCATATGAACTCAACCCCAAATCAAACATAGAACTTGAAATTCACATATCTCATGTCATACAATTTCAAGTATTCATGCACATACATCACCTTCACAATATTCCATAACTTCACAATATTCCATAACTTCACAATTAACACCACATGTCAATCGGTACATATAACTTGGAATTCACATGTCTCATACCATACGATTTCAAGTACCCATGCACATATATCGTATTCATAATTAGCTAATCTTCCACACTTTACTTAGAACTATCATGAATAGGTGGTGGTGACTTACCTGGTTCCTGCGGAGTATTTACTCCTTGTGTGTGCGTGTCCGGCATCCACGAGCAACGGTTCTTCGATGAGCAACTATATATATGATTTACACTTGATCAACATAGATTCACATTTATTCAAACTTAAATCCATGTCTGTAGAAAAATCCCTAGACTTAAAGATGAGGGGAAGTTCACCAATCAACCCCTACGAGTGAGAAAACTCCCAATTTCCTACATAAAATCGGCATAGCTTCGGGGTGGCTAGAGAACTAAGAACCGATTGAATTTCATGAACCAAGACTCATCATCCATTAACTAATTCTCATAATATCAAAGACTCCATGTATCTATTTAGAACCACCCCCTAGACATTAAGAAACTACCCAATTTCTTTCATTAATTTGGGTAAAACTTTGGGGTAGCTAAATACTCAAAACTTCACAAGGGTTTTTAATCAAGGATGAAAAACAACTCCATAACAAACTTATTATTAAGAAAAGCCATTAAATTTCCTAGAATCAACCCTAAATCAGTCAACCGTAGCAAAATCCACAACCAAGAACTGTAACTCGAAATATAGAAAAAATACTTCATGGAAAATGTAAAATCTTACCAATTGATGATCTTTGATGAAGAAATATGTTTGATTTGATCTTGAATTAGTCTGGGTAGGGTTTGGAAATGAGGTTGTAGAGAGGGGCTCGAGCTGGGCTTCGTTTTGGGGGAAAAGGTGGTTTTCGGCTTAAAAACGCAGTTTGACCGACCTGCCAAAAACCGACCGGACCGGTGCCGGTTTGGCCCTGACCGGCGCCGGTTATACTTTCATTTCACCGCCCTTAACTTTATGTTTTGGACCGGCGCCGGTCCGGATCCAACCGGCGCCGGTTTGAGGCCAATCGGGTGCTGAAAATGTCAATTTCCGCCGTAAACCGACCCCGATTGTTACCGTTCACATCCTAGACCCCCGATGACATTTTAAACTACATTTCAACACCAAAAACTATCTAACATTACAACTAACTTAATACCATTTCGTCCGGAATAAAAATAATTATAACGGTGTAGTTTCGTTGCTCATCGGATACCGTCGCCTGTCACGTTCCAACATAATACAAGCATGTGAGTTCAAGTACAATTATCACAAAATTCATAATCACATAATATCCTTATTCTTCACATGTATAGCACTCAAACCATGAGTCAAAACGTGATCATGTTGATTATTTAAACACATAAAATGTATATAAAAAGTACGGGCGTTACACCCGATGATCACCAGAAGTCATTCTCAAAAACCTCAAAATGAATCTGACTATTTCCTATACCCGGTTGACCAAAGGTTGGACTCAGCACACAAATTGGTCGCTGCTCTCAAGCGTTATAAGTCTTCAAAACTAGAAGCCACAATCTACTAACCCTATCTCCAGAAGGCGATCAAGTTCCACAACAGATACAACAGGAACATATCAACTACTCTTGGAATCCCCACAAAAAACTTCAATTGCTAATTTTCTTTGTTTTCCTTTTATGCTTTCTTTTTTAATGCTTTTTGTTTATCTCATGTACCCTTTAACTCTTTATTAATAAAATAGGGAGGTGTTCCCGGCACCCCCCCACCTCAGGTGGTTCACTCCGGGACACAAAAAAAAAATCAAATAGTCTATATATTCGCATATATGGCCTTGAGCTATGCCACTCAACTTCCCAGCCACTTTATCTCCAATCTCGTCGTATTGGAAGTACCGTTGAAGCTCCAACCATATCCTCTATTTGGGCATCAATCTGGCCATTCATTCTTACAGCATCTGCAATGCTACAATGTGCACGGTGCACATGTGGCATGAGAGAGATAGACACAAAAGATTGATTTTATGAACTTTCTCTCTCCTTCATTCCACGGTTTTACGTGTTTTTGGTAAGTTTTTCTCTGCAATGTCAAACACAATGTCTACATCTAGACATTGTGCTTGACATTTTGATGAAAAACTTACCAAAATGATATAAAATCCTTCAAATAAGGAGAGAGATATTTTATTTAGGGGGAATTCCCTAAATGGGAGTAAATAATCCCTTAATTGCTGAAATAGGACTATAATTTAAAAATTCCTTAAATAGGAGTTATTATTTGTAATTAGACAGAGATACCCTTCAAGTTTGGTAACATGCTGCCACAGACAGAATGCCGGACCGCCACTTCTCGCCGGCCGCTGCTGCTCGTAGACCGCCGCCGCGGTCTCAAAATTGGCCGCCGTTGCAGATCAGGCAACTGCGGCCGCAGATCTGGTCGCCGGAGCAATAGATCTGGTCGCCGGAGCAATAGATCTGGCTGCCTCCAGCCGTCGACTCTTGGCCCTGCAAATCCGGTCGCTGGCGCTGCAGATCCGGCCTCCGCCGGTATAGATCCGGCCGC